TTTTCGGGTTTTATGGATTTTTTCAAAACCTCAATTTGAAATTTAACATGTCAGAGCCTGTAGGACATTAAAAAAAACATCAAATAACCATCTTTCAACATGTTCTGCCACTAGAAATAAGACTAGAAATAAGTTCTCAACTTCTTCCGCTTCCCGTTCCTCCTGCAGTCGACAGCAACCGTCATAAGCAGTATCCGACTGACCGCAATTATTTTATGAAGCCAGAGGAAGAACAAATAAAATTTTCCAGCTTGGATAGATACGCGTGGATACGTAATTTTGCTTAAATTTCGTAAACTTCGTAAGAAGTGTGAGGTTGACCTCAATTATATGTTTTAAGCCAGAGGAAGACACAAAGAATAATTTTCACCAGCTTGGATAGATTGGTTTGGATACGTAATTTTACATAAATTTCRTAAACTTCRGTAAATTTTCAGGTGACTGCAGTTATTTTATGAAGCCAGAGGAAGACACATATGGAATAAAATGTGCCGGCTTAGGTAGAGGAGGTGGGAAGTGATGCCACAGCTTCAGCAGCTGTTGTTGTGTGTTGTTCACACAATCTACGGTCCAGGTCAGTTCGTAACTTGTTTTAACAACTGTAAATTTCCTAAACTTCTGTCAGCATAGGGTAACAGGATATTAGTTTAAAACAATTGTCTCCAAACAATATTATCGTTTATCACAATAATTTCTGAGACAATTTATCATCCTGCAACATTTGTTATCATGGCAGGTCTATTGGTCAGGCTCCTGATGTGCCAACGACTTTTAAATGTTTTGTGTGTTTTTCACAAGCAGCAGTTTGTTTTAAGCATGACCGTGAAAAATGCAGTTTGTCCAGCTGAATTTAATTAACTGATGTGTCACAATGAGCTTTGTGACATTTCTGACACCCATGATTAAGAAAAATAGATTTACAGGACTGAATAGGACGGGGCGTAAAATTAGATTAACTGTTTTCTCTGTTGGAGTAAGAATAATTAAATGGAAATACTGTAAGCAACAATGMAAATTATGTGGTTGTGTCTCAGTTTAACACACCATTCTTCGATAAAAAAATATCCCTTTACTTCTGCTTTAGACAAAACATGATGTTGCACGAACAGACAGCATGAGGAGAGTAATCATACAAGACGCTGACTGAAGGGTCAGGTTTGTAAGAGTGCATGGAGGCTCTTGGCTATGGAACACCAAAACGCTCATAATTAAATAAATAAATAAATAAATAAAATAAATTGTCCACGTCTTACCAGGAATTTACGCTTCTGTTTCCACTGTGAGCCCTGAGCGTTGGTGTGCCGGTGGGCGTCCGTCACCAGGCGGATCAGGTCCCACTCGTCCACAGTGGGTTCTGGACGGGTCTGGAGGGATTTCACGATCTCCTCCTTTTTTCGTTTCTCCCTGTTCTCCTCAATCAGACGCCGTTTAGCCACCCGCTTGGAGTCGTCCAACACCACTGCGAGGAGGAGGAGAAACGCGATGAAGCATTTAGTTCACGCTTTAAATCTGGTGGAWACGGCAGCGTCTGATTGACGAACACTCACAGTCCATGGCCATGCCCACGGCGATGCACTTCTTGAAGCGGCACAGCTGACACTGGTTGCGGGTGATCTTGTCGATGATGCAGCAGCCATCGTACTTACAGGAGTAGGCGGGGTGGAGGTTCTTCTGAATGGTCCTACGGAAAAAACCCTGCAGGCAGGAAGGAAAGCAGCGAGAGATGAATGGACGCTTCAGGCCCGGTGACAGCCAGCGACGTGCAGAGGGCGATTGGGGAAAACAGCAGAGGCAGACATAAAAGTGACGAAGGAGCAGAAGAGGACAAGCTAAAATGAAAATGTCAAATCAAACACATTACGTTGAGTTTAGTAAAGAACGGTTAGGGTTTGCCAAAGGCTGCAAAAATGATGGATTTTTTTTGTGTATTTGAAGCTCAAAAGACGCATTCCTTATTAAAATGATAAGAAACACAATTTAATTTATATTTTTAAAAAGTAGTGCAAATCTGAGGTGATGAGATGCAGGAAGCCTGGTGAGCTCCTGTTCTCCTTTAGGTCGGTACGTTCCACACCGACCCAAAAACTCTACTATCATTGATCATAATCTAAAAGCTGTGTGACCAATARGAAGCAACTCTTACTGCTTTTCTGGATTACACGTAAAATGTTCCTTATTTAATGTTTCAAAACCTTTGAACAACCGGTCACTAGTCCTGTCGCGATAACAAAAAAATCAATTAATCGCATAATAAATTAAAACGAGGTGAGGAATTTTTATTTGCCTGTGTTATGATTAATTATTTATACAGTATCTGTTCTACCTTGACAATGTCCAGTAATCATATCTTATGATTAAGATATGATAGTTAGATTAAGATATAGTTTCGGMTGTTTTACTCTATCGGCCCAGACTTCAAGACTCCAGCAATGCATGACCTCTCTTTAATTCTGATAAGGTAGCTTCTGGGCTGAGAGCCCTGTTATTGGTTATGTGGTTATATTTGTCGAATGGTGATTGGTTGTAAGCATGTCACATGATGTTATATCATTGGCTCTCCACTGACGASAGCCAGTCACAACACGACAGACTTCCTGATTGACCGTCTGCTGTGTTGTTGCTCAGAATTAAATCATTTGACGACCATACACGCAGATTTTCTGTGCATTTATTCCAACGTGTTTCTGCATTCTTGGTAAATCTTGCTACCACAGTTTTTGGCGTTGTTGGCAGGATCAACAGTAGTGTGGAGAGACAGTGACAGAGAGAAGCAGAGGCACAGAGACAGTGCAGGATGTTCTCTGTG